GTACCTTTAATTAATTTTTTTTAAAAGATTATATTCTTATTTTTATGGAATCTCCTTTTTGAAAGGCTATCTTTATAATATTAACTGCAAGCTCCTGCAAGACAAATATGTTGTTACCAAACAAACTATGGGTTCTAAAGTTTTATAACTGCACAATGTGTAAAGTAAATCTGTTTTGTGACCAACTCTTGTGTCCAATAGACCTAACACATGTGGCTCTAACTAAACGATTAAGAGGGAGAAATGTACGGACCGAATTCATTCTCATTTCTCCTTGCAAAACACTATGTTAAACCCCTAAACTTATCTTAAATTCTCAATTAAGTTTCTAGAATTTTATTAAAGTAAATAAACCCCTAAACTTAATAATCTGACTAATTTAATCCTCTTTCTTTTCAATGGACTTAATGCTGATTTGTGCATTGCTTGTGTGAACAAGGAATTGACATGTCATTTCTTTCGTGGTTGGTATTGACTATGTCCACCAAGTAAAGCACAAACGAGTATTAAGTTTGTTGTAAAGAAAAATGTTAAATTGCCTATATAAATTGTTAAGTTTAAGGGTTTATTTGTTTTAATAAAGGTTTAGGGGCTTAATCGAGAATTCAGGGCAAATTCGAGGGTTTTGCCTATTAATTACTATTTCTCTTTCAGCAGATTTGTGTTCAACTGTTGCAAGATATTGATCCAAATAGCATTGGAAGCGCCAGGGATATTTCTTGTGGGCATTTAGAACCATAATTTGGAAAATAATTAAGATTTGATATCAAGCAGAGAAAGCCAGAATTTCAAGCCAATCCCTAATTTATTGGGAAAAAAAAAAGGAAGGGAGGGGGGGGGGTGGAAATGCACTTTTGGTCATTACCGCCGCATATTCTCAATTTACCCCTCACAATCAAAAGTAAATGGGACCAATGACCTGTTGATTTGAATGGAAGGAGTTTGATTCTCCTTAAGTAAAGTTTCGAGTTCAAGTCTTGTGAACAGAAAAACAGATATTGGGAGAGCTTTTTCCTAATAGGTCCGATGCGACTCGATTCTAGATTTGTTAGAATCTAATGTGATTACCGGATATTAGGAGGTTAATAAAAAAAAAAATCAAAAGTAAAGGGGAGAAGATTGAAGCACATCTGATTGTGGAATGGCTGGCTGCTGGTCACTTGAAATACTTGTATAAATATGATCCTCAAGATTTCAAGGGGCTGCTTTTCGTTCTAAAAATCAAGCAAATTTGCAGAAAACCTCATTTTCAATGATGTGTTAAATTATCATTAATTCATTATATAATAGATGTAGTACTGTCGCTAATATTGCATGGAATGGAAGACCGTCTCCTATGTGATTACAAAAGAACAAAAAATAAAGAGGAAATGCATGATTTGAGTTTGGGTAGATGTATATTTTCAATTTGATTAGTGTTCATTGATTAATAATTAGTAGAAAGATAACTAGAAATTAAATTAGGATGACCTGGCGGAATCCAAAAGAAGAGAGAGATGCCCACTTGGGTTGGTTGTGTGACTTATCAACCAGGTATCCTGGAATATATATCTTATCCAGGAAACCATTCAAAGATAACAATGTTAATATACAGTGGATGCTAGCTTTATCAATATCTAGTACTTGCCCGAGTAAAGCAAACGAAGACAAATTACGATATGGATGTAGCTAGTAAGTATCCTTATTTACTTATTCTCTAACTTTAGCTTGCTCCATCAATATGCATAAAACCAAACGGTACAAATCTTAATTTGTCTCCAAAATTTTCACAAAAATTAATTAGGCTAAGTTGTCAGGTTAGCATTATAATTATAATTAATCAAATTCTCTAGCTAGCTAGTCCAGCTTAGTTATGTTTGAATTAGTTTCCCCTCATGGATCGGTCTTCTATTAATTAGAGATATATATGAGTGTGGTGTTTGGTTTTGAATTAATCTTTTACTAAATTTACAGTTTCTGTAACTGAATGAGTTGAAAAAGTTTATTCCCATATATTCTTGGGGAAATGCTTCATAAGATATCAACAGAAAAAGAGTTGAAAATGACATTGTTCTTATCCATCCAGCTGCATACATCATTTGATTTCATCACTTTGGAATGTATTGCATGTTGAGAAAATGAGATTTGAATCTCTTGTAAAGATCTACGTATCTTTATCTGTTTATTTATTTATAGGACATAATTTAATATTAATTAGCATTTAGGTACAATCTTAAATATATTTTAGTGTTCCTGCATAATGGAAGGATCTGTTAAGAAAAAGGAATGGCAGAAGAATAAAAGAATTGTATTGAGACGTGATCTCACTTTTGCTTGAAGATTTAAAATCCTCCAGAATACAACAAAACTCAAAACTCTCTCATAAATTAGATGTAGAACTCTTGTCTTAAGGATTTAAAATCTTTTAGGATACAACAAAACTTAAAACTCTTTCAGAAATTAAATGTAGAACTCCAACATTGCATAAGAATTTATAATGCTTGAAAAATCACTATTTGAAAGGATGTATCTCTCCAAAAGACACCATTTCATAGAGATACCTTTTGATTGCCAATAATCATGTCTGATTTTTAAACATGTCTTTTCAAATTATAATTTAATAAAATAAAATAAAAAATCCGAAAATAATAAAAAATTAAAGATGTTCTGGCAGTCAAGCCTCAAGATGCCTAAGTGCCCATCTTTTGATTATATATATATAAAGGGTCTAGACCCAATTTCTTTGAGTTTCATTTTACTTAATTATTTATTAATCAAAAAAAAATATTTATAAACTCTTTTAAGTTTTCATATTTTTTTACGTGAAATGTCAAACATTTACAAACTATTCAACAAGATCGACTACTATACCACTGTAGAGCCTAACTGATCATAAAGCCCCCTGCACTCAACTGTGTTTGTGGATGCCCATCCAAGTTATATTCCAAAGAATTTGATAGATAGGTAGCTGTTTAATCAATTAATTACAAAAGGATATTATGCTTCAAGATATTTAGTTGATCGAGGGACCACAAATCCACCCAAAACATCCTTCAGTCCACAGTACGCATAGTACCCTGCAGCCTACCACCAACCCCACTATATGTACTATATAAACCAACCTCCCTCAGCCCTGCCTTGCAATAACCACATCAACACACACTTGATTCAATAATATATATATCATGGAGTCCAACCGCAAGCTCAGGGGGTTCATCAAGGGGAAGTTGATGCCATTCTACAAGGCAACACCCAAGTCTGCTCCTCCCACGGTGCCATACAGTAACAATGTGAAGCCGCCGAGTCATTCTTCAACGGCGTATTTGGTTCAGCAGGACTATCTGCAGATTCCCCAGCCAAAGAAAATGTCCTTTGTGGTGCCTGCAGCCGCAGCCGATAATGCCAACTGGGACATGTTCAGCCAGTTTGACAAGTTGAGTGGAGGCGCTGCCGCAGATGAAAGTGTTGATGCCAAAGCCACCACTTACATCTCTTCCGTTCAAGAGCGTTTCAAGCTTAGAACGAATCAACTCTGAAAGAATGAAGTTCCAAGATGCTTATCCTAACTAGGGAATAGGGAGGCACAAAAATTATTTCATCACATCATCTTTCGCTTACATTCAATTCCCTTATGCTATATGTATCCCTTCATATTAACATGCATTATCTAATTAATTAAATGCCTTTGGTTCAAGTAACAAGAGAACTCAATTAATTTTTCCTTAAAAAGAAAAAATGATTGAATAAGACTTTAGTTTATGAACCACTGGCCCTGAACTCATACAAGATAGAATAGAAAAATAATTCATTTATAATTTTATTTATAATGAATTTTGTGACCAATAAAAATTTAATCGAATTATTATCTATTAATTTAAAAACTTTGTTTTAAGTTCACAATCAATGTTTAAATTTATATATAACCAAGCAATTAGCTTTTGAAATATAATAAGAATAGAAATAAATAAATTGTAGGTTAATAAACATGGATTTACTCATTTAATATTATAAAACTATTATTTTTCAAGAACTTAAAATACAAGATTCAGATCTAGCAGAACCTTTAATATCTTAATTGGTCATTTTATCTCAAAACCAATAATTAACACGTTATACTCATAACACACCTGGTTTTATAGGTCGATTGGTAATAGTATATATCACCCATAAAATTGGATTTAATTCCCTCTCTTCCAAAACTTACCTTTGATCAAAAAAAAGAAAAAGAAAAAAAGCACACATTATACTCATATTATTAATAAAAAATAAAAAATATGTAGTATAATTTAAATTGTAAATTTTAAATTATTAGATGAAAATTAATTCTTGGTATTTAAAATTGTAACAGCTTTTAAAAAACTATAAGAAATATCTTAGACTACCAAAGCGGGAAGTCCAAGAAATATCTGAAATGATAGTCAAGTTATTGGTATTTTTTATTTTTTTATTTTGACAATGATAATAATTAATAATTAAGTTTAGAAAATTAACAGCTAGAAATTCGATTATAAAAATAAGTGATCTCCCACCTTCTTCACCAAGGCACGAGGGCCCATCGGATTGTACGGTAGAGTTCATTATTGATACCTTTTGGAACGATATGGATGTGGAAAAATCTTCTTCCCTTCGAATCAATTCTCAAAATAAAGCAGGACTTTTAAAAGTGGGGAAAATAAAGTTATTCTAGTACATAGATTCCTTCGCCAGTTAGGAAGCTTCGATGCAAATTGATGTTTAAGGTAATGGAATATCCCTTCTTGATTAATATAAGAAGGTTTTTCACTAATTAATGCTAAGTTAATTAATGAAAACCAAACCACTTTCTTGACTAATATGATAAGGTTTTTCATTAATTAATACCAAGTTAATTTATACAAGGAAAATAATTTCGAGACAATTTTTTTATATTATTTTTTTATATAATTTGTTATGTCATTTAAATGATTAATTTTTTTTATTTATATAAGATTTATGATATTGAATATATCTATTCATTTAATGATATATAAAAATTATATTAAAATATGACATATAAAAATTATATTAAAATATGACATAAAAAAATTATCCTTATAGCACCACTCTTTATATAATGAGCCAACAATACTCTTTATATAATGAGCCAATAGTTGCTTATCATAAGAAATTCCAATCTGCAACCTCGTCTCCTAAAAATAGCAATTCCTAAGAGGAAAATGAAAGCAGCATAGCAACAATTAAGAGCTAGCGTCCATGACCTACCTTCCTTTTTGGAGATTTTGAATGTTTTCCCCCGCCACTTACCATGAAGAATGCTCTGCTTTATGTTAGGGAAAAAAACCAATATCTGCTTGATTTGGTCCTACACAATGTGTCTTAATTTGAAGAAAAATTACTAATAATATTATAAGACTTCTTGTTTTGCAGTTTGTATTAGATTGAAAATTCAACGCATTTGGATGGATGAGAAGGGGCTCAACATCAAAAGACTTTTCTCCAATTAAAAGTCACTGTTTCGTTGTCCGGACAGCAAAACAATTTTTTGATATTATAATTTTAAAAATATTAGTAGGATCAATCTCACTGCCAAACCCTTTACCAATAGGGTAGCTTTTTTTGCACTGCCTTGCGGCCTAGTGACAATAGCCACCCCGGTGCATTCCTCCCTCTCCAGGTTGGGTTCAAAACCCGCCCCTTGCAAATATGTTCAAAAAAAAATAATAATAAAAATAGGGTAGCTTTTTTTTTTTTTTTTTTTTCTGCCAGTGAAAATCAATGCATGAGGGTGACTGAGAGGGAAAGGAGAACGAAATGGCTGCATATGCTACCCTGTAGTGATGTGGACTCCAGTGGCCATGAGGAAGATGATAATGAAGCCAAAAGGGGGAATAGTGTGTATAAAAATGGAGATCCCACTGGTCTGCATGTTGGCAAACTCTACAGGCCAAGCTCTTTTGTTGCCTGGCAGCTGAAACAACACAAAGAGAAACACTGCCAGCACCACCAGACCCCAGTCCTCTTTTCCCATCCTTTCAATACTTCTATCCTGCAGATTTGCTTCTTCTCAATTCTCAAACTACGAATTGGCTGTTCTTAGTAATCAAATGCAGCAGTCTAACTATGAAGGCAAAAGCAATCACTATAAACAACACAGATGCTGATAAATAAGTCGACATATACATTGAATTTCACGTTAAGTTCACAACAACAGCTCAGTGGCCTCATCTTACTTTGGGCGGCTGTTTCTACTTCTACAATGAGCAAACAGTGCCAGAGAAATAGAATTCCAGGTGCTACTCTAAAACTTTAATAGTTCCTCAAATCAAAAACTGGTACAAGTTTGGGCCACAGAAACAGAAGCAGAACATTTTCTTTAGCCTTTATCAAAGTTTAAGACAGTAATTCACCCGGCAATCTTTGGCAGTTCCTGAAGATAATGCATGTCAATTTCAATTTTACAGACACTAGCATTTAACATATCTTTAATAAAGCTTTAAAGCATAAAAAGAAAGCTTGAATTGAACAATAATTTGAAACTAAATGAGAGCAAAGGTGTCTGTGTTTGTTTCCATCCCATAAAGCAAACCCACTAATATTTCCATACCTCATCGTTGCCTCCTCTTTAAACCCCACTCTCTTCTTTATGACTGAGTTTAGCATTCCTCTCCTCCTTAATCACCAAGAAAATCAATCCCATTTGCCTATACAAAAGAGGAATGTTCACAACTTCCTCCATCAACTTGTATTTTAAAAGAAACCCTCAAACACTAGTATCTTCATTTTGAGCAAGAAAGAGAACAAGAAAGAAGAGAAACAGAGATGGGGGTTGATTGGGGACCTGTGGTGGTGGCTGTAGCACTGTTTATCCTCTTGTCACCAGGATTGATGTTTCAGGTGCCGGCAAGGACCCGTGTGGCAGAGTTTGGTAACATGTGCACTAGTGGGATATCCATTCTGATCCATGCCATCTTATACTTCTGTATATTCACTATCTTGATCGTTGCAATAGGGATTCACATACATACATAAACTGAAACGTAAACTCCTATGATAATATGGGCAGTTCCTTTTCATATTCTCAGCTCAAAGTTTCTTCTGCCATAACTCTGTCTGTTCTGTTATCCTTGCTAACAATTGTATGATAAACATCTGCTTTCTCTCTTCTATAGATTCCCTTTCTTTATATGAAAATACTAAATTGACTATAGTGGTTAATTGGCTATGGTTTTGGGCATGAATAGAATAAAATAAAATAATTCTTCATCTTCAACACTCAAAAATCACAGATTCCAAATTAGACTGAAATTTTGTGGATGAATCATTTGCTAATTGGGTGTTAACCACACATATTTCTAATTCCAAGAAAATTATAAGCTCCACAACTACAGGATATAAACATAGGGCCATGTTGTCGGTGCTGAAAAGGAGTCAAATTAAACTGAAATTATATAACCAAATGACAAAATCAAAAATCAAGATTTCATTCACCCAAATCCAAATCTCAAAGGCAATATCCTATTTCGAATTGAGCAAGTAGTACAACATTAGAATCTCAATGGCTTACAGTACACAGATATTGAAGCATTCTCAGCCGATGTAGATGTGCACACGAACGGCCAGGATTAGAACGGCATAAATGGCAAAGAAAAGGAGAGTGTGAACGGAGATGGATTTCCCGTTGGTCTTCAAGCTCCCGAACTCCACCTGCCTGCTGTGTCCCGGCAACTGGAACAGAAGTCCCGGCGACAGCAGCACGAACAGCACCACCCCGATCACCACCGGCGCCCAGTCCGCCATTTCGTAAAGATTTTGAGTAAATGATGATAAAGCTTTAAGCTTTAAGGAAACCCTGCTGGAGAATGAAGAAGATACGGACTGGAGGATGAAAAGTCTTGGAAGCACAAGGAAGAGAGCTGAGGGTCACTTGCGGCAGTAGCTATGTACTGTCATGTGGAAATTAAATTAAAGTTTGGGCATATCGTCAACATTGTAAGAGTTCACACTGACAGTCAAAAAGGAAAATTACTACTTCTCCTGCTTTATCCACAACTAAACCATGCCCCTCTAGTTATTTTGCTGGCAGAATGACCTTTCAAAGTGGGGTAAAAATTTATTTTTAACATTTTATTTTATTAGATTGGTAAGTTTTAACTCATTATCTTATATTTTTAACCCCTCACATATTAGAATTAAAAAAAAAAAATCTTCATTTTATAATATTTTGTTAGTTCTGTTAACTGATTGTTAACTTTATTAATTAACTGTTAATTTTATTAACTGAAAATAAATTTTCACCAGTTAATAGTTGACTGTTCAATTAGGTTTTTACTAGTTAATAGTTAACTAATAGTTAACTAATAGTCAACTAATAAAGTTAACAATCAATTAACAAAATAGTTATGTTAACTGACTGTTAGCTCAATTAACTAAAAATAAGTTTTTGTCAACTAATAATCAACTAATAAAATTAATAATTAGCTAATAAAACTAATAAAATGTTATAAGTGAAGGTTATTTTTTTTAATTCTAATAGAGGTGAGGGATTAAAACTTATAAATCTAATAAGATAAAAAATTAAAACTAAACTTTTACCTCAAAGTAGAAATTGGTATATATATATATGTTTTTTCCATTAAAATTGATACTTTTAAATATATTTAATTATATACTATACAAGAAAAGATAATCATTTTTTTCTCAAATTTTTACTCACCTAACTTAAAATTTAAATATGAGCCCTTTAATTACAAATTAAAAGTAAGATTGTTAGTTTATTACTTATTACTCCAATTTTTCACTTCATTAGGCATCAGATATTATTCCCGTCCGTGAGGCAGGGATGGTATAGGAGTAATCTTAGAATGGTCTAATCAAACTTAAAATTAAGGTCGATTAACGATATTGAAATCATGAGGTAACCTTCTCGACAAGTAAAACTTGGCCCCAACATGAAGCTGACATTTCTTAATTGACTAGGTTTGCTTAGTGGACCAATCATTACATCTTTCTTAATTTAGTGGGCTAAATGATATTTATTCAACTAAGCTCGGGAATCCAGAGATTACATATAGAAATTCTGGAATTTTGTATTGAAAATATTGATTTCATTTTTTTGCCTGTAAGTTAGAATAGCATACAAAATATTAGATGGAATTACAAAAATTTTAAAATACTGAATTATTAACCACTTTATGCCGGAAAATGAGAATAATTTTTTGTTTATTAAAGGCAATTATGGTGTCCCAAGATTTAAAAATCGAAGGAATAAATTTTCCATCAAAAAAAAAAAATAAAAATCGAAGGAATAAAATGGGGAAAAATATAAGAGCAATTTAAAAGCACTTTTCCCCGCTACCCTTTCTTGTGATTTCTTTAGACACTAAAAGGCGTTATGGGCGGTGATGGAGCACTGAGAGATATATGGGGTCTGCAATTGATCAGAGAATATGATATTTCTATATAAAATTATGCTTTGCCTTATCCAGTGAAAGCAACCAACCAATAAATTAAAACAATACGGTTGGTTTTTTTTTTTTTTTATAAAGGTAATGGTTAGGAAGTTAGTATGAATTAATTGTTAGTAATTTGGGATTCGATCTCTAGATTGAGTGAACATTTCACCCCCTCAAATGAGGCGCGTGACCATCTGGTCGCTTTTGATGAAGTTCACAACGGTGATAGAATTCGAAACTCCGACCACCTCACCTAAGCACTTAAAGCTTGGGGTCGAACCATTAAGTCTAAAGGCCCGATTTAAACAATACAGTTGATTGATACCAATAATTGTTGGTTCAAATGAAAAATTCTTTATTTTTTTAAAATAAAATCTTAAATTTAAGTTTTTTAAATAAAATAATAATAATCAAGTCCTAATACGGGGGTCAGAAAAAAAAAAAAAAGAAAAAGAAAAGGAAAAAGAAAAAATAAAGTTGATTCATGCTGTATACCATTAGCTTTATGGGATTCCTATTCCCTCAATTAACTTGAAGATGGTATAAAATACAGCATCCAATGCCCTCTTTCTTCTTTATGCTTGCTTTATTCTTTCCCTCCTCCTCCTCCAAACAGGTTTAGGCATTTTTTTTCTTGTTGAAGCTTCAGAATGAGAGATTGGGCTGCTCCTCTCGTAGCCGCGGCGCTGTTTGCATTTCTGTCTCCAGGGGTGCTGGTGCAGCTCCCTGGAAAGGACCGTCCCGTTGGTGGTTTTATGAATATGCAGACCAGTGTTGCATCCATACTTGTGCACGCAGTTCTTTACTTTTTGCTCCTTGTCTTGTTTCTTGTTGTTCTTCACATCCACATCTATGCCTAAGAAGGATTCACATCAAGCTTAGAAATGATTTAATTTTCATGTCGTTACCAAGTTTTTAGTAACTTCTTATCCCCTGTTCTTGGCATTTAATTACTATAATAAATAGATAGACGTTACTTATTTATATGGTAGTCTCTAGCTTCCATTTCCACTATATGCTTTATGTTTTATGTTTGCATTTTGAACCTACTGCAAAGAAACAGAGTTTTCTTTTTTGGAGAATAGATTTCCAAGAATAAAAAAAAAAAAGACATTATTCTAAATTAATCAAATTTATCTTTCTGGTAATGGTATTAGCAGGAGATAAGTCTTGTCTTGACCAAATATGATGTGTACAAGCAAATAAGAAAGCTATATAAACCTAACATTTTTATTACTTCATTGCATGTCAAATCAGAACAATAATAATACATTAAAGTTGATACCAAAACACACTTCTCCAGACAAGGATTTGCACAATTCCAATATAACCTCAACATAATAAATAGTTGACTCAAAGCTGCACATAAGTTTAGTTGCTTTAGGATTAAGTAAAGCAAACTAAATCAGAAATCATCTGAAATCGTTGGATCAAGCAAATTAAACATGAGGAAGGATATAAAGAGCAAAGCTGATCCATAAAACCACAAACAACATAAATCTATAGTTAATCCTCACAAATTTGGTACTTCCGGAAAAGATACAAACACCTTGAGAACAAGATTGGAATCAAAATTCACAGATCAATCCAAGAAGCTGGGGCTATCAGCTATGACCCAATGTACACGTGCACACCAATGGCTAACAGGAAGATACACATGAATGCAAAGTAAAGAACGGAATGGACCAGTATAGATACCCCACTGGTGTGAAAGTTGGAAAACTCTATGTACCTACTACGCCCTGGTATCTGAATAAGCAGGCCTGGTGATAGCAGAATGAACAGCATCACAGCCGTGAATACAGGCCCCCAATCTGCCATCTTGCTGCCTCTCTATGTAATAAGTAAAAAATATGGTAGAAGTGGATATGGAAATGAGATAGATGGTTGATTTTAAAGGTAGGGGATTTTGCTTCAGGAAGAAGGGCGAAGGTATTTATGAGAAGGGAAAAGTGAAGGTTACAGGATGAAGCAACCTGGATTCACATTTCTTTGCTCATTCATCTCTCGCACTTTTTGGTGCAAAAGGAAAGGAAGCTTGTGTACAAGAATAATGTGGAAGAACAATTGTAGAATTGGGTTGTTTCTTGCTTTTTTCCTGCGCGAATGCCTAACGATAATGCCCTAATTACTAAACTCCATAGTATTGACAAATTGACAACCTTCTTTAGATTGATAAGAATGATACTTAAATTTGTGGGTATCATTAGGCATTGCTTCTTATCTTAACATGCCAGTGGTTAAGAGCATGAATATTTAAATTAGAAATTTTAAATTTAAATCTTAAGATGATTAAAAAGATATTTGAAAAACAAATGAATATACCTTATTGTATAACTTATCATCGGACAAATTATAAAAATATACCTTATTGTATGCCTTACTGTAGATTTTGGTTTTATAGAACCGTTGGGCTTTTGTAGCCTATAGTTTTAGGCCAAGACTAGCCCATAGTGGATGAGGATAAAAAAATGGGCCATTAGAACGGGCTCAAAGCTACGTTGTTAAAAAAAAAGAAAGAAAAGAAATTACGTCGACAGCAGGGTTCGAACCTGCGCGGGCGAAGCCCAACAGATTTCAAGTCTGTCTCCTTAACCACTCGGACATATCGACCAACTTGATAAAAGCAAGTTATTTTAAAATTTTAATTTAATTTGTTGGAATGAGAAGACAAAATTCTCAAAAATCAAAATAAGTGCAACTAGGTGAGACAGACAGACCAGAATCTGTGGTTAATGATCCATTAAAGTGAAAATATTTTCATTTTTTTAACTAAGTAATGTTAATTTGGAAGATTTCAACATGTAAAATTATAATTTAATAATATGCTACTTGCATGAATGGGGACAATTGATGACACCCTTTTGCTTTTAACAAATTTAATATAAACATCAATCATTTCAAATATTTAATGATGTAGTATCTTTATTATATGCTCAAAACGTCATTGGTTACGTTAGCTGTAAGTACGTCAATTAATCATTTCACATGCATTCACTTGAATATGAGAGAGAGATTTTTCTAAACCATTATACCATCTATTGAGCTTTATAATTCGTACAAAGAAAAAGAATATACAATATCCCACCCCAATCGCCATTGGCATCAAAAGTCGTGGGACGGTTTGTTGCTGGAAAGGCCTTTTCTTTTATACCTTTTATTATTATTATTTTTTATTGTTAGACTGTTTTTTTTTATTAATTTTTATGTATAATTTTTTAATTAAATGATTTTAATGATGTATTCGTCATATCAACTTACTTCATTTAAGTGTTAATGTTACAGATATCTCAATAATTGATTTTATTAATAAGTAAATATTATCTCCTTCCAAACAATATAAAATAAGTAAATATTATCTTGTAAAATAAATTTAAATTTTAAATTTTAATGTCAACATTAAAAAAAATAATTATTAAACTGATTTAGAATATAAACACTTAAAGATAAAAAAATTAATTTTGAATTGTATAAAAATTCATTCAAAGATATAACAAAATAATTAAAAAAAGAGAGAGAGAAGAAGAAGAAGAAGAAGAAGAAGAAGAAGAAGAAGCAGGGGAAGTGCAGGAGCTGGCCACTCGTAAATATTGGCTAAAAAATGCACGCGTTTCAGTCTTTCCCCACGTGTTACTATGAACTTATTGCTTTGTTGCTTAGAGTTTGTTTGGTGTAATTTGTGAGAATTTTTGTTTTTTTAAGTATTATTATGAGTAATAAATTTAAATTTTTATTGAAAAAAAAAAATAGAGTTTTTACTTTTAGAGATATGAAAAAGTGAGTGAAAAGTGAATAAAAAGAGATTTTATGAAAAGTTTGGATTTGAAACTTTTGAATTGTTACTGTTTAAAAACTTTTTAAAGTTAAAAAAATATTTAAAAGTATAGGTTTTTTAAAAAAAATTTAAATTTATGAAATATAAGTAGTGTTCAAAAGCTGAAATTCTTAGGAACTGATCCAAACAGGCTCTTAGAGTGCGTTTGGTGCAGTTCTCAAGTGTTTTAATTTTTTAATATTATTTATATTTTATAAGTTTAAATTTT